AACGTTGCCAAAAAAATTGTACTTTATACCCCCGTGTGTTCGTGTAAAACTATTCTGTGTAAGTATGCCACACTACAGAGTTATAACGACTCGAACAAACAGGTCTTAGAAGCAAAAGAGTATATACACATAGAATATAAAAAATAAATATATTTTTGATGAGTATGTCCTTAAAAGCTAAATTCAAAATATCCAACTTACGCACTTTAAATTCAAATAACTTTGGTATTATTTATAATTTATTCCAGGTATTTTTATCCAATATTAGTTGAGGTTAAACCAGATGATAAAATAAACATTTTATAAGTGCAGTAGATCAATGATAATATAATAATAACCAAATTTCACAGAAATATAAATTGAAGATTGATAATTTCCAACACTTAAATATTCTATTTTTAATTTTTTATTATCCAAATTAACTATATAACTAATTACATAATATGGTAAGTGATTATTGATTCATAAGTGACGCAATGTTACTTTTACGGTACAGTCAATTTTAAATGGTTTTATATTAACCGCACTAAAATTGTTTATGTTATAACGAAAAATTTGTACTTTACCCTAGCTTTCTATCCCATGGAATGTTATATGCTTTTTATTATTGGAGTTAGTAATTTTTCAGAAGATTTCAATTAATTTAATAATTTTTTTTAAGCTTGAAGAAAGTATCCATACTACAAAACCAAAATATTTAAATAAACTAACTCGGCAGGATAATTTAAAATAAAAAATTCCTCAAAATATAAGTATAGTTAAAGTATCACTAAAATTATTAATTTCTAAAATATCTCTAAATATCAATTACTATTTTTTTTTCTATTTCTAGACTTCCGTAATAAATAAAAATAAATTCAATAAAAATCTTTGATGAATTTTTAAATATTAAAAATAAGTTTATTTGTAAATTATTATGACCATAAACAATCGTAGCAACGACAGTAAGTATTTCACTAAAAAAATTTAATTTTCAATTTACCTTATAATAATTGTAATGCTATAATAATAATTATTATTATTGCATTAATAATTTTTATTATCATAAACATTGCGTTTCATTCGAGAAAAATAAATATATTTGCAGATTTACACTAACACATATTTTATTTTAGACTAAGAAAATAATAACTGATTACATTGAAAGCCTTATGTTTACCATTAGTAAGGTGATAGGTGGTAGGAGAATGATCATCAAAACCATAAACAGAAAACATGTTTTTAAATAACGTATTAGTATTGTTGTTTTGACGTTTTGTCATATATGTAAATAATCCATAATGTAAATCAAAGGAATACAAAATATTTAAAAATTAATAATGTATTTCATCTAATGTAAACTAAATAAGTATATACAATTACATGCAAATGTAGGCTTAACAGTTGAGAATTTGATTTCTATTACGAGTTAGTGTACATGGTACAATTTGACAGTTTTCCATTGTCATGTTTGTACATTAACAATAGCATTTTTTTTAAATAATGATAATAAATTTCATGTTCAACGAATTTAACAAAAAACAGCATTAAACATAGTCATGTATTCTATCATCTCTTCTGAACAAAAAAAATTCTGAGAATAATAGACATAATTTACATATTTTTACTAAAGGAAATTTCTAGTTTTATTTCAATCTTTTAAAATAAGAAGAATTAAAATGAAAAATATCATTAGATCCATAATTAATCAAGTGTCTATCCTTAATAATTGGAAGTGAAATATATTTAATGGACACTTACATTTTATCAATTTATTTAATACAGAAAATACTCGGTAAACGTTTCAAGAACAACTATTTTTGTAGTGACAACACATTTAAAAATTGTACAAAATATATTTTAGATATATTAAGCAACATTTTGAAAGCATGCTGATAAAATGTAGAGTAATCTTAAATATAGTTAAATTGTTTTGTATTTATTTTTAAATACTTCAATTTTTTAACTAGGGAAAATAATAAAACAAATATTTTAAAAGTATTTCTAAAACTCCAACGTATTTACAGAACTAATACGTGTTATAGAATGTATACATACACGTCAACCAATCAAATAATGAGTAATTTTAATTCAACAATTAGTTCTAAAAAAATGATATTGAGCAACAAAACATGTTTTTGAAGTTTGTATAAATTGCGATGATCATAATCATTATAGTTTTATGGGCTAAATTCGAATAATAATCAATTGATGAATAAAATGCAGGTCAATGGACGTCACGATGAGTAATTTATTTTTTATCAAATAAATAATACCAAAGTACTATTAAAATATATCCATATAGCTATTTTTCTATGTCCATATTACAGAAATACAGTTATTTTCTCAGGATATGATTAATCTAGCTACAGACAAAGCTTGTTAGTAATAAATAATCAATTTCAAATGAACAAAACAATAAATAACAGTTGTTGTATTATCGACTATATTAAATTATATATACAACACCAATAAAAAAAATAATGATAAATGTTTTACTAAATAATTTCGATTTCCCTATAGTTATAGTTTTCCTTTATCGTTTAACATAAACTAGTCAAAATTCTGTATTTTTTTTCTGAAAAAATATTTTAGAAAACAAGAAATATTTAAACGGTTTTAGCAATTATCATTATACACGGGTTATAGTTATTTTATCATGACCTCATAAGCATTTAAGTAAAAAAGTAACTGGGCAAAGTTAAACATTAAATAATGTAAAATAATTTTATGGATGCAACCTATATTTATGGATTGCACAAGCTAATGTTCAAAAAACAATAGCAAACAACAATGAAATTTATGATGGAAACTCTTTATAAACTACTAAACACAATGAACGTATAAAATAGTACATACATTCATCACGAATTTATTAAGACTGTATAAATTAAATGTGTTTAACCTCTTTTAACAAGAATATCAAAAATTACCAAATGAATGTACTGATTTTTAAATATGTTTTAAAGGTCATTATTCAAATTGATTATGTATTAAGTAAAATAAAAACTTTTAATTAAATCTATCATTAATTTATTTGAATTTACACAATAATATAAAATAGGACGCCACCACATAGCTATCATTTCTCTACTAGAAAATAATTCTTAACGTTACAGGAAACATAACTTTTAATTAGACTCACATATTTAAATTATTTACAAAAATAAAGACCAAATTACAATTCAATAGTCAGTTAAGTTGTTCTTTGAGATAGTCTTGACTTAAATTGTTTATTTAATAATTTATATATTTCTAACAATGAAAATAAAAATGTAATAATTTAAGAAAAATAAGCAATTTTAACACAAAAACGTTTAAAGTAATAATAAAAATTATCTAGTATAATGGACAGACTTAACATTATTTTGCTCAAATATTTTAGGAAAATCATCCTGGAAATGTTTTAAGATGAGAACATAAAAATACTTGCAATTTTGAAACTAAAAATCAAACATAGTATCAAACATACTTCAAATTGTATGGAATGCTTAAAAAAATATTAGTCATTTTCTTTGATTTTATCTTAATAAGTATTTCATATGACTATGATAACATTTGTTCACCACTTAGTATGACCAATGCGATATAAACCGGTTATAAGGGTAAGAATTAATACTATGGTATTAAATAATAACAATAAAGATTTCTTGAAAATTAAGAACTATCTAGAGTCAATTATTCGAGATCATAAATATAATTTAGATATAAATATATTTAAATATAAACAACTAAAATATATTATGAATTCACAATACATAAGAGATCAGTAATTATTTTAAACTCAATATTCATTCTATGAAATTAACTTAAGGGTATTATTAAGGTAATATTGATTTAACAGATAGCTCATAACTTGCAAAATATAAGTATTTAAAATACACAAAATAGAAATTACAAAAAAAAAAATGTAATTTTTCGTAATAAATTTGATTTTTAATGCGTATAACGGAAGTAATTAATAGGAAATGGCAATAAACATTAATAACAGATTAAATAAGATAACATTTTAAAATAAATTATAAGCCGAATGAAACATTACACGATATAACGTCTTCTGCAGATTTCTAATATTCATATTTTTATCAACTATGCAGTTTACTCTAAATATAACTTACTCATTTATCAACATATTGTAACGGAGATTAGAGCAAAGCTATTCTAATGAGTTTTAAGAATTGAAGATTAGAAAAATGCGGTGTTACTATTGTTATAACAAAATGTTTTTAAGATGAAAATAATTGACCAAGCTAAAATGTTTCAACTAAATACATGTTTGAGTTGTAACATGTATTAATTTAACAGACAATACGAAAAGGGTTCCTGGTAAATAAAATAAATCTACCTATCATTAATTTTTGTTAAGTCTTAATTTTGAAGGTTTGAAAATCACTTTATTTTATTTTGATTGAATATAAAATGTTACCGTGATTACTCAATTTTTCAATTTAAATCAGCAAAAATTAAAAAATGTAAATTTTTGTTAAATATTTATTCTGAAAAGTCAGTTAAAAAAGAATAGACGTCAATTTGACAACATTTTTATTCGACCTTTATTTTCAAACTTCAAATACTAGAAATTCGAAACATATTATTTAAGGTACTATGAAATACTACATAGTTTGGAATAAATTATTTTAATAGAGCATAAATTTATCGGGAAGTATTTTTAACAGTTTAGAAGAATAAAAACCACGTGACTATTGAATTCAATATAATGTATCGTGTAATATAAAAATGTATTAGTTAAATAAAAAAAGAATTTCTTTAAATAATAAATAAAAGAAAATTACTCCAAGTAATATTTTTATCAAAAATGTTCGTAACAACGACGGTAATTATATCTAACAAGATATCTATTTCGCGAAATGGATCACAATTTTAAGCATCTTTGGTTATTTACTGGCACAAGAAATATTAAGCATAAAAAATCTACTGAAATCACTTCATTAATTCAAGAATTTTTGGCAGTAAAATAATAACATTTCTTAATAAAATGAAAATAAAAAATCAAACCGTACTTGTCTTGTAACGTTTTTTGTACGCGCTCATGTTGCCAGTTTCCTCGTTGGCTCACAGCACGGCCACCATATCGGCCCCCGACGATCACGCAACGTCGCACAACCACCACGACGCGGGTAATCAACAACAGAGTGAATGGACGGTGGAGTAGCGGGGAAGAAACGGCGGCCGGTGAAATAAATAAATAACGAACTTGATTGTCAGCAGCAGCGCGACGACAACGACAACGGCGGCGGTGGCAGTGGTGGCAGACGCTAGCCGGGGTGGTGGTAGCGCAGCGGTGCGGTGAAGGCGAAACGAAATGAAAGCGCCACCCGGACCGTTTCGGACAACGGCTTTGGTTATAAACTGCTCGGAGTGTATATGTTATTGGTGGTGGCAAGCGGCTTCGTCGTCCGTCGTCGTTGTTGCCGCCGCTGTAGTGGTGCGTGTGCGTACGCGCGCGCCGCTTCTATATGGGTGCGTGTTGCCAGGATTTCGTACAACAAACGGCAACGGCGCGGGAAACGGCCAAACAATACTGTACAGCACGACAAGAACTGCCAGGACGCATTAGCGACCGGGGAGGCGCGGCCTATGCGAACGGTCCCCGCGCCGCTGCCTCCTACCATTTATTTGAACTGGCAACATTGCCATCGACCTTGGGACCTCCAAAATTTCACATTATACCCTTTGCTCGTCCCTCCCACTCCGTACAAGTATTTCGCACGCCTTATCTGATTATTGAGATATATTCCTACGTTTTTATAGAGAGCAATTGAAGGCTTGGTGCAACAACCTCCAGATAGATAACATTTATTTTAATTATTCAGGAAAAACAATTTTATTACAATTTTTCCTTTATAAGTAATTGTTAAATGATTTTTTAAAATTAAAGATGTCCATTAATAATAGGAAAATAAAACTTGTTTTTGTTCAGAACTACTCAGAAAAATCACATTTATTCAAAATTATGCGCAATATCAATAAACCATCAGGAATTTTTAAGTAGATATTTTTAATTATTTAATTTATAGAAATTATAAACTATTAACATAACTTAGTAATTTTAAATTTTTTGCGGCTGTAGTTGGACATTTTGTACCCCATGACAATAATTAATAATTGATATAACGAGAAAATTTGTTGTCCATTAATAGTGAACCTCGGAGTCGGAGGGTAACATTTTCTCCCATTAACATGAATAAGAATTAATATGAATAATTAATTAATACAAATAAAGTTATTCATGAAAACTACAAAATTTTATAGTTTTAAACAGACATGTATAGATACTTATGGCTACTTAGCAACCCCCAGAATGTCAATAGTACTTCCAAAAAGTCTAAAAAGTTATACTTATGATTATATAAAAGTATTTTTTAAATGCAGGAATTGCATTTTGTATCCAAAACAAATAGTTTTTACTATTTCAATCAATTTTTCTAAACTCTTTTCAATTAAAAATTATCAATTAATTGACAAAAAATATTTATGCATTCTTTTTTTGATAGAAATTATTTTAAATATTACAATATACTGATAAGTGAATCATTATTCTCAAAATTATAGTATACAAAATATTTACGTTTTCATTAGATAGGTTGTGTTGGTAATTATAATCAATAGAAATTTTATCTGGTTTTCTTGAAAAATATAATTGTTGTAACTTAAACAGGGTAGATAAAAAACATGTTTTTTAAAATTGTTTAAAACATAAGTAAACAGTTTAAAATTTTCATTAGACTAATGTAAATTTTGAAATGTTTAGTGTTTAAAACACTGTATATTTAAATCGTAACAATCCTGACCTTAAAACATGTTTCCATTAATCTATCAATAAATTGAGCTTTAAATTTACCATGAGTATTTTATATTAGAATTAATTGAGAAACATTTATTTAATTAATTTGATTAATAAAATAAAATAAATTAAAAGTACCATATGGTATTTCATGAATTTAGAAGCTTCACCTTAATATTTACTTCAATAAACACAACTTAAACTGACGATATGTAAATATATGTTTTAAAAGAAAAATAAGATTTTATTGAGTTACATTTTTTAAATTCATTAAACTTATTCTGAAAACTTGGTGCAAATTTTTGTGTAATAACTAGTCTTTGTTGTTTAAACAAAAACTATCAACTTATTACTGCTATGACGTTAATTAATATTATCGCTAACACTCAAGTATGTTAAAATTATCTAATTATAAAATTTACATATGTAATGTTAGTAGGAAAGCTAACTATCGTAAATAAAAGTTCTAACGTATACCTGTTTTTAATTGTTTTACATTTTACTATTCATCATAATATAGTTGTTTTTGATTTTGTAACAAATACAATCTATTCTTATATATTGTATTATATATATTTGTATACACCAGGCGTAGATACATTATGGGCCATGGGAGCAATAACCTATCTAAAATTAGAATCATTTAAAAAAATATTGTTCTTTTTTTGAAAATAGCTTACTTTAAGAGAAATAGTCAAATGCCCCCTCTTAAAAAATTTCTTTTAAATCTTCATCTTATATATTTATATACCATAGCCAAGAGGGCTATAGGTCTGGGCCCACTAAAATAAAATGATGAGTAAAAAAAAAAAAATGTCAGAACTATGGAATTTTGTATGTAATTTGCTATCTATACTTAATATGTCGGTTATTCTGTAGCGTCATAAATGTTACTGCTCTAATAATATTACGAATTAAATATAACTAGCCACTCAACAAAATAATAAGTACATATTATGTTATATTACACATTATTATAACTACATATAATAATAACATGCAATATCATTAAGTATAAACAAAAAATAAAGTCTTATTTTTTGTAACTACTATGAATATTATTTTTTTAAAATTTAAATCCCATCCTTTTTTATCGAGTTTTTAATTATTAAACGATTATAGCTTATTGTTGATTAGTGTAAACAGTTATTTAAAATTATAAAATGGTTTAGTACTTTATTATATTATACTTGGTATTTGTAATTTTTATAACTATCTAACAACTTAATTGTAATAATAATGATGATTATTGTTGGTATACCTATGATAAAAATAACACCTAAATACTTATGACATCAATTATACGTTAACGATTTTTTTGAGTTATCAGCGCTACCTATACAAATAGGATCACTTGGTTAATATATTTTTATTTTAATTCTGATAGATTGCGCTGCTTGTTCAATTTATACTTGGTTCTGCCTAATTAGGCAGAAACAAATATAGATTGTAATCAGTTGTAATTAATTACAACTGAAAGATCATTACTTGCATGAAATTTTTATATTACTTTATGATGTAAAGTGTAGTTTTTTTTAAGAAACTTTGTTTGAATTAAAAATATTCTTAGCTTAATTAATATAAAAAAATTTCTTTTGAAGTCTAAATATTCTAAAAACTTACATATATTTCTCAAACAACTCAGATTATATTGTTTGTTACATGATAAGTACAGTCGACAAACTACAGTTCAAAATTACAGGTGAATCTTTATATTAATTTTATTAATTAACTATTTGGAATTCTTTGAATTTTCTTCAATAATGTTTTATCTAAAATTAAACTGAATTCATAAGTTCTTCACAAGACTTTTTAATAGATTATATATACATTTTTAAATACGATTTGCTTTCTGATTAAATCTGACGCTCTAAGTTAACAAACATTGAATATTTATTTAAGTGTTGTAATATTCACCAGTAAAATTTAAGTAAAAAACACACATTTATTAAAATACATACCAATGAACAAAAAGAATATTTTAAAACATAACAAAACTACTTATCTACAAAATAAATGTATTAATTAAACTGATTTTGTTTTATAGATAAAAATTATAATAATTTAATAATAAAAATATTTTTACTACGAAGAAAAATAACACAATGTATTATCAAAATATAATAATAAATAGTTCAAATTGGACAGATCATAAATAAGAGAATAAAAAAAAATATTTACAACATAACATTTAGACAATGAAATATAAATAGGTAATCATAAAGTACAGTGAAAAAAAACTTAGTTAAGTCCTGCCCCCTCTTTTCCAGCTTATAGCTTCTTCTAAGATTTGTAATATTTTACGTCTTGTATCAGTCAACATATGGTCAGGAAGTTCATCCATTAATGGTGCCAACGACAATAAAAATATTTCGTTACCCTTTTTATCGTTAGTTTCCTTCAGTTCTCGTAATATTGTCCACCTGTTCAAAAACAAATAATTTTCAATATTAATCATTTATCAAATTCATATGAATCTCAATTTTTCATTTGAAATTGCACAAACAAAATAATTGTATAGTAAATAATAATTCAGCTACCTATTAGTGTTTATAGATACTGGTTTGGAGCAACTTGAATTAAATGAGTCCCATGTATATCGCTAGAAAAAAAAAACAATTACAAATTATTTAAATAGTTTCCAACGCTCAGAAGCGTGCCCAGCAAGTAGGTCTACGTTATTTTCAAAGCCAACTATAAGTATTGGCCCCATAAAATGTTTTATTCTCAATTAAACTTCCCAGAAAAATGTCATTAAAATCCGGTATGATAACTCCAAATTAAAATAATTATGACTGAGTCTATATTATATTTTAATTTTAGACAAGCCTCGGTCAACGCTATTGTTTTTATAACATTTTTATGATGTTCAATGAGCCATTAGTTGAATCAATATTTTGTTTCATCTTATTTCATTTTAAAACTAATTTTGTTGTATTCAGTCAACTGTATTCTTATTTACCTCTTCTAACATAAGTTTATCTTGATAGCATAGAGGTTCAGGATAAACGTCTTTTTTTGAAAAATGAATTGTTATGTTGACCACTCGTATAACGTCATCTCCTGCAAGTAGATAAAAAAGTTTTTATTAAAATGAATTGTTGAACATCTTTGTTTAATTCCAAGTTTTCGTAAGATAAGTTTTATGGAAGTCAATTGGTCGTTTAGTAAATAATATATCATTTTAAAACTGCCGTATAGGCGCTGTACACTAACCCACTGCGTAGAAACAAAAAACAACAAGGACGAATCCTCCTTCCCATAACAAGAACTGATACGGCAAAGCTCTAGAACGATTAATGTGAGTCTTCCAGAATTCTCTGTAGCTATACTCGATGGGTAGCAGATCCATTACCCGCCTCTGGACAATTAGCGGATTTTTCTTGATTAATTCATGATATTTTGGAGGGAGTTGTAGTATTATTGGAGTTATCTGATACGGCAACGACGCTATAAACAAATTGAAATATTTATTTTGTACAATTATTACATTAGATTCAGTTGCAAAACTTAAAATATTATTTTATCGTTACTATTATAGCTAGTTTATTCAATGGATATTATTTTTATATACTATGAGTATAATTAACAACCTGATAGTGAAATTCGTAATATTAAAATCATTTTTGAACTAAATTAAGTATTAGTTGTTTGAAACAATTTTAAAGTGTCAAAGTATTTTAAAATATTCTAGAAATGCTATAATCTAAGAATATAAAAAAATGTCCTAAAAGTTTTTAGCTTGATATCTTATTAGTAGTATTATAAATTAAATAATTTTTTTTTCACATAATTTTTAATTATATAATACTTAATTTTCCTAAGTATTAATTGTTTTTAATATAACGTTTACACGCCAAGTCCAATTCTCCAAAAATGTTCAATTCGACCTTGTTATGATCGTGACAGTCAATCAGAATAATAATATAGAAAACGATATTCTATCATTTAAACAGATATAAAATATTCATTGTTCAAAGTGGGCGTAATCAAAGTTTTCAGTTTCAAAATCGACAAACGCCAGCGGATGTTTTTGTTCTTAATTTTTTCTAACAGATTAACCTAATGAGTTTGCAAATCCCACTTGTGGCATTCTATTTTTTGTGCGCAAAATTTCAACACTGTTATTTACTACACTTTAATTAATAATGTGATACTTAATTTAAAAAAAAACCCACACTTATCACTTATCAAAAATCTCCTACTGCGAATTATAATAATAACAATAACAAAATGAATTTATTATAACAATTGTTTTGTTGACAGACACATATTATTGGGTAATCACCTGCATTTTCTATGGTAGAAGTGATTAACTCTAAGTATATTGTTATTGACACGATTAATGTATTTATCAGTCGTTAAACGACGATAAAATATTATAACACTGAATATAAAACACATATAATTCTAAATAAAACTGGAAAATAATCAATATGAAGTTCAAACCGATAAATATAAAATGAAAACATTTATAGTTTGTTACTTCATAATTATTCCAATTTTATTTTAAATCGATGTACAATATAAGTTATTTTAAGGGAACTGAAGAAATGTAACGAGTTGATAATTCTCAAGTAAAGCAATATTTTTGAATGATGTCATTAGAATATAAAATTTTTTTTTATATTCCCATGATACTTTTGTGATAAAAAACACGGATGTCAATAAAGTTTGTTTTAGGGAGGTAATAATTTGAAAGCTATAAGATAATATACCTAATTATAAAAACTTTACAATTATTATACACTCCTTGTAAGTTTACGTTATGAGGTTTGGTTATTATTATTATATTGACTCATATGTACATTGTTTTTGTTGAATAGCTTTGTAGTACAGTAAAATACATAATAATATTATGACTTTTAAGTACTGTCTGCATTTTTGTATCTATACAATTAAATAGGCTATTAATAATTATTTTAGCTTAGATAATATTTTTATAAATGAACATGTAAAATAGGTGTCATAGATTAATAATCATGTTATGAACAGTTTATCCTTTTCCCAGAAAAATGTAAATTAAAATTCTCTGACTGTCTATAAATATACTTACTTAATTCGGGGTAGCAATTTAAATATTTCAACATCAAAAACAACATTTTCCACGCTGGTTTGTGTACCATACGATCCCGTCCACCGTAAGCGCCATCATTAAATTTTAGTAAAGCCTGAAAATTAAAATTTATTTATCTAATCATTCTACTATATTTGTTAGAATCAAAAAATAAAAATACTAAGAGCTGAGAAAAATCAATTTTAAACTTTAAATAAAAATTATAGATGTTTAAAAATAAATAAATAAACAACCAAAAAATTCCAGTGTCATTTGCTTCAAATAAAATTTACAAAACCTTGAAGTTTCGAGTTTGTTTTTGTAAGCAACCAATTTACCGTAACTATTTTTAAAAAAAATTCACTCAGATTTCTTGTTGCATATAATTACAAAGTTTTGATCGAATACATTAAATTTAAAAAATCAATTAATTTGATTGGTTTAAGTAAATATTTGCAGATTTCATATAATTTCGTTATAGTTTATTATGAAGAAAATAGTGTTATAATTTAATTAAACAAATAACTGAAATAGTTACACTTCACTACACTATACGGCAAAAGAATGTAGAATAATTCTTTGTAATTCATAGAGAAATTTGGTAGACTTATTGTAAGATAATTATTCTTAGTACAATTATATCAATTATTTAATTAACAATTTCATTACATCAATGAAATTGTTCTTGAACTTGAAATGTTTACCTGAATAAGTTCGTATCCTGCTTCTTCGGTTGTTTTAGTCATATTTGTGTTATTGTATGTCCAATAATGTTTATGTATGAAGACACTTAAACGCACAAACGAGAGTAACAACACTTTTACCTGTGATACTTGTTAAATGTTCAGAGACATATGACAGCTAGAACACGATTAAACAGTACGATAATATCTATTTGAAGAGAACGTTTGGCGAACGTCCACGCATTTTGTTGTCATCTTGATAGTATCTACCTCTTAAATCGAGTGTTTTTTCTGCGCGGCACTAATTTTGCCTTAAAAATAACATTCAATGCGCTATTACCGCAAAAACACTGACCAGAAGTTTATATTTATTTCCGTACGTCATTAAGGTATATGTCTATGGAATCCGAAGGCTGTGGGCGTAGGCGACGTCAAAGTGTTGTTACATGAAACAAGCATAGTCAATAAAAATAATAACAATGATCTAATTTATGGTACGATTGTCGTAGTACTATGAGTTTACATATTCATTCTTTTCAAATAAACATGATTATTTCGAAATAAAACTATTTCGAAGTCAATAATGAAATGTATGAATCATCGAATGTCTCAATGTTGGCTTATATATGTGCTAAAAGATGTGACACTAAAACAATTAAGGTCATCGCCTACATAACATTAGCATAAAATTTAATTATTTCCTTAAAACTAAAAAAATACTTCCCTAAAAATAAAATCTTAACTGAGATGTATTTATTTAATGTTTAATTTCGTTGTGAAAAGATATTAAGTTTACCGTGATGTGTTTAATTAAATTTTTTTTTTGTGTATGTCACTACTATTCTTTGCAGCTCTCTGGGCCCATTTTTTTCATCGATACGTCAAAAAAATCACAAATTATATACAGTTGAAGACATTGCCCTTAAATATTGAAAAATTATCCTTCAACCCTCGTAAATGGTGGAAATCTCCTCGAAAAATACTACTTTTAAAATCGATATTGACATTATTTTAACTTTTTTTACTTAAAATTACCATAACTTTTTTTTAAATAGATAAATCAAAATAAATTTATTATTATTATTTATTTTAGGTAAAAAATATATTATATATTACAATTATAACACTTTACTGGGAAGAATTTTTTTTTTTTTGCTTTTGAAATTTTCGAAAAATATTCCAAACATTAAATAAATGTTAATTTAAAACTTATATTAAATAATATACGTTAAAAAATAATAATTTGTTCCAATACCATTATTTTATATTTGTCAATAGGGAAGACTGGAGTACATTTGAATGTAGGGTAGTTTTGAATTGATTAGATAAAATTAGTTATAATAATAAATTAATTTCACGTAAAAATAGACAATTAGTCAAACTGTACCTAACATTTGATACTTTTAATTCACGTGAACTTAATATATTATTACAACTAGTTTAGTTTAATTAATTCAAATGTACTCCACATTTAAATGTGCCCCAATCCCCCTATACTATACTTATAGTCTTTAACAGATGGAATTGTGTCAACAAAATTTTTATTAAATGAAATGGAACTTATTTTAAAATCGTTTTGTGTAAAATTTGACATTTATCCGAAGTTGAAAGTTGATCTACGATGGACGGTATAGGAGGAATGTTATTTAAAAAATTTGAGTTTTAAATGAGAAATTTACACAAGAAATATGATTTTCAATTGGTTGTAAATAGTATTCATAAGTTATGACTTTATTAAAAACGATATCAAACGTTAAAAGTATAGTTAGTATATTTTATTATAAGTCAAAATTAAATCAAGCTAACTATTTTTATTATTTTCCTGTTTTCTAATATTTAGACGTGATAAATGTTCTGTGTCTTTGTTTTTACTATTTTATTATTTTTATCTGCAGTTAATGCTTAATAATTTTTACCAATATTACTGTATATACTTTAAATCTTAATTTAAATTGTTAAACTAATATGTCATAAATTGTTATTATTTTGGGTTAATGGCAGTGGCGGTTGTCACTGTAATATAATATCACTAGTGGTGGCAGTACAAAATAGAAATGAAAATATTAATAATAGCGATTATACTATTAAAGCAAAATTTTTTTCTCTCTACTACAAGTAATGAACTTAACCACCTTTTTATCTATTTATATATATACAATTATGTATAATATTGTACACAATTTTTTCCTACCACTGTGGTATTTTAACTATAATTGCTAATACTAAAACATATTATTATGTTTAAAACGAAATACAAAAACTACATCTATGACATTGCATAGTCACAAAATTAAAAAAAAACATTTTTTTGAAATATAAAATAAAATAACTTAAGTAATTATTTTATTTTACATTAAAAATTTTAAAACATTGGTGAAATCTGCTAAGTAGCAAAAACACTCTCATATTTGTGTTTAAGCTATTATTTATGCCAAATTAATTATAAATTAAATTTTTTTTAATTTTGCAAGAAAAAATGTTTATTTCTATAAATTTTGTTTGTAGGTATAGTTTATAATTAAAATTGATTAATATATAACTTTTTGTTTCTCTTTTAAGTTTTAATTGTATGAGAGAGTAGATATAATCTACTCCTTCATTAATGTTTCTAAGAAAACATTTGTATTATAATATGATGTTAGATATTTTCTAATATATACTTTTGTTTTTTTAATTGTAATAGAATACTTTTTTGATGATTCTCGTACATCTATTAAGACACACCCTTGCAGAGATGGTCCCTTGTAAAGTAAAGGGACGTCCAAAAATTGTGCTCGACTCCTAAGGTCGGGCACGGGTGCTTTCATATGGGTGTCAGCAGCACGGGCTCACTAAACGATCATAGAACGCGCCGCTCCCCTAGAACAAGGATGTGCTCAATGACAATTTTACGGACTCAAGTACTCGGTAATCAGTGGACGGGTCGGATAGAAAGATATTCGACGTCTATTGGACACTCAGAGCTACTACGCACCTCTTTTGTGTACGATAGAAAATTGAAAATATAATGAAAAATGTAATCACCTTTTAATAGGTGATCTAACAGTACTCTTACGACCTCAAAGGAACCTCGAATGTATTTAACATTACATTAAGTTGAACGCTGCATGTTTAATGAGCTCCATCTACCGGAAAAATATTATATTATAACACAGACTGTTGTTTGTAACGCATTTATTGTTTAAACTAATAATTAAAAGAAATAAGGCAATTTGTTTAAGCAAACTTCGTACAGATATTCGTGTACCGTTAATTTTCTGTTTGATTTTTATGTTATTTACAAGGAACTGTTGATATTAATCATTTAGCGTTTTAAAGAAAATGCAATCTATTATTAGAGTATAGTATAATTAATCATTATTTAACATTGCATATGAGTAATAACAAAAAGTGTATAATTTTAGAATAAAATTTGTAAGTGCAACATTCTGTAAACAATACTAACAGAAAAATAAATCTATTTTTTAAATTCTTGTTCATTGAATTTTAATCATTCTTATTTATAAATATTTCATTGTTAGAGGTATGTGACCACGGAATTGCGAAAATGGCAAATGTAAAAATACGGCGAAAAATTCGCGTGGAGGTCGTAAAAGACGCGAAAGAATAAGCCTCGTGGAACGGTTCCGGTTTAGGGACCAGAGACGAAAAATCTGAATTTAAACCAAAGAAATTCTTCCAGATGGCTCATATTTCGAGGGGCTCACGATTTTAGTATATAGAGAGAGATAAATTGTTTAATAGTTGAGAAAATAGATATTGTTTTGAATTGATTATGATAAATAATTTTGCGATCAATCTAGTTATATTAAAAACCTAAGGTTTTATATTTATTTTTTTATTTATTTTATAATTTTTTTGAAAAAATCTATTTTTATGGAAATCTATTTTGCTACAGTTCTTAAAGAAAAGTTTATTAGACGTAATGACGTTCTTTGTATTTGTCTTTTGAACTGTTATTATACCTAATTGGTATTAAAATTAGCATTTTAGAATTTGACAGTCGCGTTTTTTTAGGAATCTCAAAAGATTTTTCAAAAATCATTTGCCAGTTTTTAAAAAAAGTTTGTAAAAGAAATATTTAATGCTTTTATGAAAAAAATAAAAATACCATCTTTAAATGACCTTTTTCAACTTTACTTATGAGAGTGTTCCGGAAATACTGCCACTTTTATTTATATCTTAAATTAAAGCTTATATAATATACTTTAATTTTGAAAAAAAAAAAATTCGAACTATAGATTTTTTCATGGTGAAAATGGCTACCGTATTTAACAATAATTTATTTTTGTGTTTAAATTCTTGATTTTATATTTTTGAACTTTATGTTGTTATAACTTTTTAAAAAATGCAAAAATCAATACAATTTTTTTATGATAAATAGTATATAAATACATCTTTCATTCGACATACTTTTTTTTTAATTTGACTATTACACTTCATACAAAGAGGTCACACTTTAAACATGCGTACAGAAACTATCTATTTTTGTGTTGAAATTCTCGGTTTTATATTTTATTTTATTTTAAAATACAAAGGGAATACACTGATTTTTATAAATATTATATAAATCTAATTGATATAGAATATAAAGTTAAACTTATTTAAATTTTTTATTCTTTTAAGTCGAAAAAAATAAATTTATAATTTTATAATTACTAGCTTAAATTGCCATTTTTATCTTCCCACCAAATACGACGTATGGTTGCCGAGTTGAGAATTCTTGTGTCTTTCACACTTGGGACACAAAGTTTGAACCCTAAATGAAAATGAACTGTTTTGCATTTTTTCTTAATTCTTTTTGAGTTAGCAAAATATTTTCAACTCATTTGATTTTTATCTCATTTAGATTCACATCATTGTAATCTCCCCTTGCGAGAAGAAATTTCTTATTCATATTAAAATTATTTTACTATGTGGTTTTTTTTTTGTGGCTGTCATTTATTTTCTCAGATCTCACTTGACCAATTTTTTTTTAACGATACGTCAAATGATCACAACTAGTATCTAGTTAAAGATATTACTAGTAATGGGCATTTTCGAATATTTTAAACCATCGAATAGTATTCGATAGTTTTTTGAAACTATCGAATAACTATTCGAATTGTTTTTATACAACCGAATAGTTTATTTTTAGCATAAACTATCGGATAGTTTAAAAAACTATTCGAATAAACTATCAAATAGTTTTAAAAACTTTTCAAATAGGCTACCGAATGGTTTTCAAAAAATATTCGATCAGTTCTATCTAAAATTTTTATTAAGTACACTTAATTATAATAAAAAGATAATTAACGAATACTTAAAATAAAATATTATACAATTTATAATAGTAAAAATTAGTGATCGGCATTATTTTAAACTATCGTATTACTAACTATTCGAATTGTGTTTATATAACCGAATAGTTTATTTTTAGCATAAACTATTCGAATAATGCAAAACTATCGAATAGTTCGATATTTACTATTCGATATTTCCCATCACTAGATATTACTTTCGGAAATTGAAAAAAAATCTCCTTTATCAAATAAAAAGTTGCTTTACCAGCTTTCTCCATACAGACAATTATAAAATCATTCATTTGTAATATTTTTAAAGTATTTATTGTTGAATTAGGTTTGATATGATAACAAGTTTCAAATACAAAAATTAATATTTTTACTTTGTAATTTTTTAACTCTATTTGAATGTTCTATTACCAGTTTATAATATTACAAATTTTTTGGTAACATGTTGCTATATAAATCATTGAAAAAAAAAATGATTTTTAGTTTCACCTGAATCTAACAGTGGTTTTTACAATTATAATAAAATTTTATAATACGCTCAATTTAGTAGATTATCAATTTAGTAGATAACTTATTAATTAGCTTTTTAGTTAAAGTAAATCTATAAAATTAATTAAGAAAAAATATAATTTTAGATTTGAAAACAGTGCGAAAAGTTGATTTAGAAAATAATATTTTTGATTCCGATAAGATATCCTTGTAGACCAATGTACTTATTCATAAGTGAAACAATTTTTTTGCATCAAGCTATTTAATTTTTATACATGTTTGTCATAGAAATAACGAAATAAATTACTTTATCATTTTTTATTATTTCTCCGTATAAATTAAAATATTAAATTATTGAATATCAATTCTTACTAAATTTAACTACTGAAATTAATATTTATTCATATATTATACATTTAAATCGAGAGCTACTTATCAGAATATAATTAAGGAAATAGGAGTGATGTTGTTTTTGTAATTTTGCACCAAATTCTCAGAATTAAACACTATTTGCTTCAAAGCGTCCCAACTACCCTACGTTTATATTGTACTGCGACATAACTTTGCTACCGTTTTTTGCTTAATAAACGTTGTAATTATACAAAAAAAAAAGACAAAATAAATTTTTTATTAAATAGACTTTATTGTCATAGTACAACTTTTTATATAGCTTTACACGAAAAAATAGAACTTACTGGGAATAAATCATTATATTTACTTTTCTTAGTTTGCGTATCGTAAACAAAACCAAAGTTCTTATATTTAAGTAAAATTTCCTTTTCAATAACTGCATCAAAACGATCTGTAAGGAAATCAGTGTAACTATATTTATCCATACCTTCTTTGATTTTGTTAATCATTTCATTTCTGTAAAGCGTTGCGAAAATACTGTGAGGAAAACCACTAGGTATTAAAATATTTTTTTCAGAATTTATCATCTGGCTTGTATAACTAAAACGTTCATATTCAATTTTATAATTGCTTTTCAATATACTCATATTATCATAGATTCTATAAATAGATTCTGTTATAAAGTCAAGCCTACCTTTAAGCATGACGATATCATCATATTTAAAATGAACTGGTATCGCTTTATATGATAACTCATTGATAGCATTTAAAAAATCTAGTAAAAAATTGTTATTGTTTACATCAGTTGATAGATGATCAACAAACATTATTGCACTAATTAAACGACTGATCAAATATGAAGATTTTATAAAACATAAGTCTATTGATTTCATACAGTTTATAAAATTTGCATCATCTTTTTTATTATATATATTATAACACTCACCAGCAAACATTATTAAATTCCTTACAATCCATATGAAAATGTCTGCGTATTCGTAATTCATCAATAGTAAAATTTGTCGAAGTTTTATTGAAAAGTTTGATTTTCCAACGGGATATTTTTCTGAAACCCTTGTATTTACTAAATCTTTTAATAAGAAACTATCAACTTGATTGAAGTCGTATATTTTTCGATTTCCATCGCTGATCCATTTTTCTGGTTTTAAAAGTGAGTTGAGTATGTTGTATTTTTCTTTTTTACTGAATTCGCCTGATATTTTATCAGAAAGCATAAATGCCAACATAAAAGTTATAAAAAGTTTCATTCTGTACTTAATATCTTAGTGAATTAAATATTTTATTATTTGGAATTATAATAACTTAAAATCAAAATAACTTGAAAACTAATATTTATATATGCATTAAAATAGACATATTTAACGTCACATTAATATAAATTTAAAATGTTTTTTATTTGTTAAGTATAGAATTTTATATTTGATTTGAGTTATATTTTTCTGGGTGTTATTTGTTTAATGGTTTATAAGTTATTTTTTATTTTAATTTAAAAATAGGAATAGTTCATTACTGAATTATTTAAATATTTATTTAAAAATATGTTGGAATGCTAAAGAAAAAACTAAAAAGGTCCATATTGATTTTTCATAATTTAATACATTATTTTGTTTTATAAAATTATAACTTGTGACCTCTAATTTCATGTGAACATTTTTTTTTTCATATGAATATTATTTAAATAAAATTAGCCACGAGTGATCAATTATTATTATACATTTGATAA